TAAATTCCAAAGTGAATTTACTAAGGCTTGGCCTCGTTTTCGCGAATTGGTCCTGTTTTTTAGTGGGCCTCGTACATTGTCAGATGTAGGAAAGTATGATGTAATGACGGCAGTGGGCGCCAGATTAGGCAAGTCCTGCCAAGTCTCCATGATAACCCCACCAAGTTGTGAAAATGGGGTAAAATCAATTCCGTCCTTAAATTACTTGATTTAATTTACCCCTAGTAGGGGGAAAAAGTTGAAGGAATACAACAGCAAAATATTCCTATAACTCTGATACAGATATTTTAAGATGTCTATGATCGAAATTTAGTAAGAGCGATAAAAAACGAATAAAGTAGAGTAAGGAATGAGAAACAGAATATCGTTTTTCCCATATATATACACTTGTGGAAAGCAAGATTAACAAATCCGAGCCTCACGAACATAAATCAGTAAGGATAAAGCTGACACACTTGCGTCATCTGCGGCTTTAAAGATGAACTCCATCCATTCTGCTATGGTAGGTACTACCGTTAGGCGTCCACTTTGTTCCCGGCCTCGACGTACACGAAGAACATAGACCATTTGACGTCGATATTGAGGCTGCTGACCGAGATCAAAGCTTAGTACCTGGCGAATATTGAGCCAGATAGGCTGTATAGCAGAGTCACTTAGAGGGTCTGGTGGAGTGACAAGCCGAATAAAGGGTGATTTCTGAGGTTTGTAAATCTGTTCTTTGTGTTGAGAGGAATACGAATTCGGACACAAAAAGTAAGTATGTGAATGTTTATGCTTTTGCCGTCGCTGATGCTTTCTCTTCGATGATGCATTTAATAATGGAGGAATTGTAATTGCAGATTTAGCTGGAGTCGGTGATCCAATAAAAGTTTTGTGACTTTCTGATGGGGATTTCGATATGCAGCCAAATTGCTTTAATTCAGGTTGCGCTTCAGTTTCAAAACTAGTTTGAAAAATAAAAATATATATATAAAGGCATTTTTGGGCTTCCATTTGGCATAGTACAAGTATTTATGAATTAAAAAACGACTAGTATGCAACGGCATTAAGAAGAATCAAAATTAATCAAGCAAAAGTTATCGATTAGTCGAATGTATGATCAAGGCTTGTAAAACCTGATGGTAAAGAGAAGTACACTCCAGGCAAAATTCGTTGTAAGGGTTTTTATAAATATATTATGGTTATGATCTGATAAAATAAAATTCATCGATCAATATGATACATCAGGATTTAGATTGTAAAACGAATACGTCCTAATGGATCATTATATCCAAATGACTGCTTGTTTAATCGTTTTTATTTGGCATTTAAGTCTGACAATGTCTGTCATTATGAGCATAGCAAATGAGTCAATACTCTTCTCTTTCCAGATAAGACTAGCCCGCGAAACCGTTTCAATCTGCCTGAGAATGAAGATGAGAGTAGCTCAGCAAGATAAATGGATCCTCATAAAACTACATAAGGAAAGATGAAAATAAGTGGTAAATAAAATCATATGCTGCTCATCACCAAAGTAGATCCGTCCATAGTATTATTTCATCTCAAACTATATCACAAAATATGATGTGTATTCACGCTGCGACGTCTAAGATGATGAAGGACAGGTAGTTGAATACACCTCATATAACTTATATATGGTAGTCTTGAAACCCTAATTATAAACAACAAAATAAGTAATTGAAGATATGTTGTGGCCCTCGGTATGATCGTAGTCTCCATTCAATGGGTGTAAGTGGGATAAGCTCGTTTTCGCAACTTGGTATTGTTGTCAGGGCGACTTAGTTCAACACACCTTGCAAAAATTCCTGTCATACTAGTTATCATGATTCCCAGCATTAAGATCGTGGAATTGGTACATTCTCAGACGCTCCACCGGCATCGCAGTCAACATCATTAGTGAGGCTTGCCATTCTCAGCAATAAAGTACAACTCATCGAATAGATAAGTCTAGGCATCACAGAATATGAATGTATTCCTAATGTTGGTACAACCTTGTCTTCGCAACTTAGTCGGAGCGTCAAGGAGACCTTGTGGAATTTACCTATTCCCGTATCCTCTGTCATAGTATTCGAAATTTATAGCATTGGGTCATTGGCTAAGGGCATTCCGAAATGTTTCACTGGCGTCGTTAATGGGAGGCGCCATCGTAAACACAGAGTTACAACATATCAAAGTGATAAGTGAAGGCAGCCCCCTTGACCAATTTTCTGTCCAACCATTGTTGCATCACTCTTCGCCCCTATTTATAGTGAGAGAAGTGATGGCACAATGGTTGGACAGAAAATTAGTCAAGGGGGCTGCCTTCACTTATCACTTTGATGTGTTGGAACTCTGCGACTACGATGAATCACTAACGATATCGACTACGATGCCGGCGAAACGTTTAGGAATGTGCCCATCCAATGATCCAATGATGGAAATCACTAATATTATGGCAGAGGGCACGGTACTAGGTACGCTTCACAAGGTATCCCTGAAGCTCCAACCAACTTGCGAAAACAAGGTCGAACCAACAGTATAAAGCTAAAGGAGACTGCGGCCAAACAGAAGGCCACACCATCTTGGTCTTCATATCTTCGATGATTGTATTCACCCTACTTCATTTGAGGTAATGATGGACGGGTAGTTAAATACATCTCATGTAACTGATTTAATGGTAATCTCGAGACCCTACTTATAAGCAAAAAATAAGTAATATAATCAATTCTTATAGCAAATTTAACTTTGCCATCAGTAGATCAGCCCTTCATAACCCTAGACTAAATAGTGAATACATCTCATGTTCTGTGATACATAGTTTGAGATGAAATGATGCTATAGACTGAACAGCCCAGGCTTATCTCATTGATGAGTTGTAGCTTGGTGCTGAGAATGGCAAGACTCACTGATGATTCTGCCTACGATATCAGGGAAACGTCTGAGAATGTACCAAGTCCACGGTCTGCTGCTGGAAATTATGATAACTACTATGACAGATGACTTTTGAGAAGCCATGTTCAACTAAGTCGCCCTGAAAACAAGATCAAGTTGCGAAAACAAGGTCAACCAACTTCTATATAATCCTAATTAAACAATTTGAACGAATTCTCTAAATGAGATAAATGCTTGAGGTAATTTGCCTAGGAGTATAATATTCTAACAGCTTTGAGAGTCTGAAGACGAATAGAAAGAAGGAAAACATGCTTGAAGAGAATTGTATTGAATCTAATATGAATGGCCAATTAAAAACGGTATCATATAACTGATTTACTGGTAACCTCGAAATAGTACTTATAAACGAAATATATACCACATAATTTTCGTTCGATCTATTCTCCTTCAAAGATTTCTAGCAATATGCTTCAATCTACCAAAAATGCTGTAACGCCACGTTTCGGGAGTCAAAACGCCAGCTTTCAACTTTTTTATTGATAAATATAAGAAGGTTCATATGAGAGCACCCAGTCAAAAAAGGCCACAAATATCATATCATATCATTGCGGGAAATTTCAACCCCCAGTCCTTCATCATCTTAATCAAGATATGGTGAATATTTCTCATAAACACGATCTGGAAACCCTACTTATAAACGAAAAATAAGAAAAAGTAGTCGATTGCTATTGCAAATACAATTTTGCTTCATCGACAATCCAAGCACAGAATGTGATATGCTAAATTAGCATCTACCCTGTGGCCTAAAGGCATTTGTGGCAGTCTAGCGTAGTGGTCAATATGTATAGATTATATTTTGCACTATCACGGTTCGAGTCTTGATGGAGATGTAGATGAGACTTAGGCGAGGCCAAAACTGCAGTCCATCCAAGATAAGATTACCTTTTAGGAAGCAAGGCTATGTGAAATTCAAAAGAAACGTAGGGCCTATCAAGTTTATTGTGGGAAAATGCAACTAACATTTCTTCATCAACTTAATGAAATGGAGTGAATACATCTCATATATATATAACCTAACTGTATTTTAGAAAACCTATTAATAAGCAAAAATAAGGTAGAGATGTCTTGTGATTCATCTCAATCCCCCCTTATTACATCGATGAGTCTCGTTTAAAGACATAATATCTAGTATACGGCACTTTATAATCTCACACAGACTACTTGGGAGCACCTCTCATCCGATCAGTAGTCAATCGGTTCACGGCAGCCGTAGAGCTAACTATTAGACCTATGCAACTGTGTTCATTACAACTAAAACTATGCAACTTGGCACCAATCAGAAGCCGACGTTCATTTCACCCATGGTAATTAACAGGAAGTATTGTCAGCTTAAGCACATCTCACGGCACCATCTCCATCTGTTCTCCACCACGGATTTACTATTAACATTGTTTGTGGAAGGCCCCGAAGTTGGAGCTCTCATCGTCTCCGCACTGAGGCAAATGCCTTGAAAGTTGTATTTGGAGATCATTTTAGCTTAAGCTAGACATGTTAAAATTTAAGTAATGATAACATGTGCAGATAAATATTTACCAGGCCATAGGATGTTGAATACTAAAGACAGCCCAATCTGGTGCGGAGCGGAAGCTACCAGCAAAACAGGCTATACCTAAAAGGTTTCCAGCCAATTGAAGCGAACCACCCATGACAGGTGTATTAGTTGCCAAAAGAGCCGAATCTGAAAAGTTCAAATGAGGCTGCCAATCTCCAGCAAACCAAGCCAATTCACGAAAATAGGCAAAAATTGCTTGAGACATTGGAGATTGCCAATGCCTCTGTAGAAGTCTGTCTATCAAACTGTCTTCCGTATAGGTAGCATTGGCAGTATGAGAGTCTCCTTCCCGTGTAATAGGTCCAGCATTATTGGATGCGGCAGCAAACGTAGTTGACGATCCACGGACAAACGAAGCAGAGCTAAAAGCTTGGCCAATAAGAGAGAGACGACCTTCGCGTACCTGTTCTTCAAAATACTCGCGGACCTTTTGAATAGACCTGAGAAGATCTGGAGTGGTAGTCCGAACAATCGCCAACTGTGTAATGGGAAATTTGGAAGAATGCAATGAAATAAAAATAAAATGGCATGTAGGAAATTCGTTTGGTAAATTATAACAGATTTAAGGTGATTACCGTTTCCCTTTTTTCCTTTGAATCGAACACTAATTTCGTCTCTCAAATTGATATTTCCATCTAATCCTAGGGTACTAGTATGTTCATGTGTATGTTTCCTGGGCTCCTCCGTGGTCGAGCATGTCACCAATCATCCCTTCAGACACAGACAGAAAAAATGCACACAAGCACACAAGCACCCAAGCACACATTGGTGACCTATATCTGGCCCACCTATACCTTTAGCCTTAAATTTCATATCTTACGTCCCACAGGTTGACACTCCGAGAGAATTGTTTTGGCCGATTCCAGGTTTGACTCTTCTCACTGCAATCACCCTTTCTTGACTTCACTTTGTCCCTCATGAGTCGCACCTTTGTGATGTGTCTTCCTGTTGCTGAACAATTGTCCAGGATTTCCATGTATGTCCAGGCAGTACGCAAAATTATCACTGAAATTTCCCTCTTCTAATCTCCTGTTCATCAGGTTTCTTTGAAAAGAGATGTCAACAGCCTCCCTGGTCTTCCGTTATCAGGTCTTTTCCCCAAATGCAAGGATAGACTAGGTAAGATGAGTATCAAAATTTATACGGTGTAAAAAAAGAATATAATATAAAAATATGAATCCACCTGAAGCTGATCCCAATTCAATTCTCCGTTGACCATCACATAAACGGGTGGGGCGCCAACATCAGTGTGATCTACAATATTTGCTGAATAAATGATATGAAACTCATTAATTTGAGGATGGCATGATGTCAAAAATTGGACCATTGCATGAAACCTACTTTTGGAAGCCGCTACAACAGCCGAAGATTCTGTCTGAGAGAAAACAGTATTAGCGTCTAGATCTGTGCGAATAAGCTCAAAAATATTAGTCGCTGATGAATCAGCAGCAGTTGCGAGTTGATTTGGATGTGGGGAGGTATGAGACCTGCTAGTGGGATGAATTTGCTGAAAGAAGGCAGAACGTGCAGCTTCCCGCAAGCGCCATTCATCATGCAGGCGTAATTCAACTTTACTTAGACGACCGAACAATAGGTTCGTATTCATGTACTCAATGCGACTCTGAAAGCCAGCGATAAGAAAGCTGATACTGTGTTGAGGATCACATTCTGGATCTTCTTTTATATGAACTTAATATAAGATAAAAGAAAGAAATATGCATCAAATATCCAATAACAAGAATAAATAGTTTTTGAGAAAGATGATCGAATAAAAGCTAAAATAATAGAAAAATTAGCATCAAAACATGCAAATAAAATTAGGCAATTAATGAGCTGTATAATCCCCAGACATGAAGAACAAGATGGTGGCCCTCGCTTTAGTAAAAAGTCTCCTTTCAAAGTGTAGAAGTGAGTTGATTTCGTATAAAGCTAAAGAAGACTGCGACCAAACAAAAGGCCACACCATCTTGGTCTTCATATCTTAGATTATCGTATTAACCCTACTCCGTTAGAGGTGATGATGGACTAGTAGTTAAATATATCTCATGCAACCGATTTAATGGTAATCTCGAAACCCTACTTATAAGCAAAGAATAAATGATGTAATCAATTCTTATAGCAAATATAACTTTTCCACCAGTAAATCAGTTATATGAAATGTATTCAACTGCAAGCTCTTTATAACCCTAGGCGAAATAGAGTGAATACATCTCATGTTCTGTGATACATAGTTTGAGATGAAATGATGCTATAGACTGATCAGCCCAGGTTTATCTCATTGATGAGTTGTAGCTTGGTGCTGAGAATGGCAAGACTCACTGATGATGATGCCTACGATACCGGCGAGACGTCTGAGAATGTACCAAGTCCACGGTCTGCTGCTGGGAATTATGATAACTACTATGGCAGATGACTTTTGGGAAGCAATGTTCAACTAAGTAGCCTTGAAAACAAGACCAAGTTGCGAAAACGAGGTCAACCCACTTCTATATAATCCTAATTAAGCAATTCTAACGAATTATCTAAATGAAATAAATGCCTGAGGTAATTTTCCTATGAGAATAATATTCCCATGGCTTTGAAAGTCTGCAGAGGAAGATAATGAAGAAGCAAAATATGCTTGATATTTCGTCATATTTCTTAGACTAAATATCAATAGTGCTAATAAAGTGCGAATGATAAAGAAGAGAATTATATTGAATATAATATGAATAGTCAACTAAAATCTATTTCAGAAAAAACAAAACTTGTGATCCGTGACCGAATGAACATTATCCACACTCCGATAAGTTCCTGAACATAACGGTAAACTCATAATTCTCGAAATCAAAAATAAGTCAAAAATGGGCAAATAAATAAAAAGGATCCCGTTTTTCCTTTTTACTCATTCTGTCGAGTAACTAAGTGGAGCCAGGATCTGACTCATCATCGCCTCGACAAAATTAATGCTAAAATATCCCACAGTAATCTGCTTAATGAGTAAGTTGTATAAAAGTCTCTCCTATTTATTGCAAATGCTGTCAG